CATACTATGATGCTGGCACGAAGACCACACTCAGCGAGCTGTATAAGGCCATAAGCAAACAAAAAAAGGCTCATCCAGAGGCAGCACTCCTAGTGGCCGGTGATTTTAATGCAGGAAAACTTTAATACATTTTACCTCATTTCTACCATCATGTCACCAGTGCAACTAGAGGGATAACAACTCTAGATCACCTTTACTCCACACACAGAGATGCATACAAATCTCTCCCCCGCCCTCCATTCGGCAAATCGGACCATAACTCTATCCTCCTGATTCCTGCTTACAAGCAAAAACTCTAACAGGAAGTACCAGTATAGCGCTCAATACGGAAGTGGTCCGATGAAGCGGACGCTCAGCTTCAGGACTGTGTCGCCAGCACAGACTGGAATATGTTCTGGGATTCATCCGATGGCATTGAAGAGTTTACCACATCAGTCACCGGCTTCATTAATAAGGGCATCGACGACGTTGTCCCCACATTGACCATATGTACAGTACATATCGCAACCAGAAGCCATGGCTAGAGCTGCCGCTTTCAAGGAGCAGGACACTTAAGAAATCCTGCTATGCCCTCTGATGAACCATCAAACAGGCAAAGCGTCAATACAGAACTAAGATCAAATCCTACTACAGGCAGGAATTGCAAACTATCATGGATTACAAAGGGAAACTCAGCCGAGAGCTGCCTAGTGACGTGAGCCTACCAGACGAGCTAAATGCCTTTTATGCTCGCTTCGAGGCAAGCAACACTGAACCATGCGAGAGAGCACCAGCTGTTCCGGACGACCGTATGATCAAGCTCTCCATAGCCGATATGAGTAAGACCTTTAAACAGGTCAACATTCACAAGGACGCAGGGCCAGACGGATTACCAGGACGCGTACTCAGAGCATGCGCTGACCAGCTGGCAAGTGTCTTCACTGTCATTTTCAACCTCTCTCTGACCCAGTCTGTAATACCTACAGTGGGGGAAAAAAGTATTTAGTCAGCCACCAATTGTGCAAGTTCTCCCACTTAAAAAGATGAGAGAGGCCTGTAATTTTCATCATAGGTACACGTCAACTATGACAGACAAAACGAGGAAATAAAATCCAGAAAATCACCTTGTAGGATTTTTAATGAATTTATTTGCAAATTATGGTGGAAAATAAGTATTTGGTCAATAACAAAAGTTTCTCAATACTTTGTTATATACCCTTTGTTGGCAATGACACAGGTCAAACGTTTTCGGTAAGTCTTCACAAGGTTTTCACACACTGTTGCTGGTATTTTGGCCCATTCCTCCATTCAGATGTCATCTAGAGCAGTGATGTTTTGGGGCTGTCGCTGGGCAACACAGACTTTCAACTCCCTCCAAAGATTTTCTATGGGTTGGGATCTGGAGACTGGCTAGGCCACTCCAGGACCTTGAAATGCTTCTTACGAAGCCACTCCATTGTTGCCCGGGCGATGTGTTTGGGATCATTGTCATGCTGAAAGACCCAGCCACGTTTCATCTTCAATGCCCTTGCTGATGGAAGGAGGTTTTCACTCAAAATCTCACAATACATGGCCCCATTCATTCTTTCCTTTACACGGATCAGTCGTCCTGGTCCCTTTGCAGAAAAACAGCCCCAAAGCATGATGTTTCCACCCCCATGCTTCACAGTAGGTATGGTGTTCTTTGGATGCAACTCAGCATTCTTTGTCCTCCAAACACGACGAGTTGAGTTTTTACCAAAAAGTTCTATTTTGGTTTCATCTGACCATATGACATTCTCCCAATCCTCTTCTGGATCATCCAAATGCACTATAGCAAACTTCAGACGGGCCTGGACATGTACTGGCTTAAGCAGGGGGACACGTCTGGCACTGCAGGATTTGAGTCCCTGGCGGCGTAGTGTGTTACTGATGGTAGGCTTTGTTACTTTGGTCCCAGCTCTCTGCAGGTCATTCACTAGGTCTCCCTGTGTGGTTCTGGGATTTTTGCTCACCGTTCTTGTGATCATTTTGACCCCACAGGGTGAGATCTTGCATGGAGCCTCAGATGGAGGGAGATTATCAGTGGTCTTGTATGTCTTCCATTTCCTAAAAATTGCTCCCACAGTTGATTTCTTCAAACCAAGCTGCTTACCTATAGCAGATTCAGTCTTCCCAGCCTGGTGCATGTCTACAATTTTGTTTCTGGTGTCCTTTGACAGCTCTTTGGTCTTGGCCATAGTGGAGTTTGGAGTGTGACTGTTTGAGGTTGTGGACAGGTGTCTTTTATACTGATAACAAGTTCAAACAGGTGCCATTAATACAGGTAACAAGTGGAGGACAGAGGAGCCTCTTAAAGAATAAGTTACAGGTCTGTGAGAGCCAGAAATCTTGCTTGTTTGTAGGTGACCAAATACTTATTTTCCACCATAATTTGCAAATAAATTCATTAAAAATACTACAATTACACGCCTCTCTCATCTTTTTAAGTGGGAGAACTTGCACAATTGTTGGCTGACTAAATACTTTTTTCCCCCAATGTACATGTTTCAAGCAGACCACCATAGTCCCTGTGCCTAAGAACGCCAAGGTAACCTGTCTAAATTACTACCGCCCTCGTAGCACTCACATCTGTAGCCACACACACACACTTTCACTCTACACATATGCTGCTGCTAGCTACTCTGTTTATTATCCATCCTGATCTCCTAGTCATTTTTTACCCCTACCCACACGTACACACTGTATTACCTCAATTACCTCGTACCCCTGCACATTGACTCGGTACTGCTACTCTTTGTATATAGCCTCGTTATTGTTTTTATTGTGTTACTGTTTCCTTTTTTATTTAGAAAATATTTGTCTTACTTTCTAACTCTGCATTGTTGGTTAAGGGCTCATGAGTAAGCATTTAACTGTAAAGTCTACACCTGCTGTATTCGGCGCATGTGACCAATAACATTTGATTTGAACAGCAGTGTTTCATTTGCAAAGAAGTGTGTCCCAGAAATTGTCAGTCTGGTTGTGCAGCAGTGGATAACTAATTTGCTGTCAGAACTGAACGGGTCACACCACAGGACTGCCAGTATCCAAATCAACTGTCGACTCCGTCCACCCGAAACACGCTGCTGTGCAAATCAAATAGAAAGTGCTATTTGGAAGACCACTATCTGCAGATGAATAAATCCAGGCCACAGTCAATTTCTTTCCATTTCAGTACATAACAATAATGTCATAGGGGGACCTTGGAAGTTGGAATTCAGTTTGGGCTTGAAGCCTTGCACTGAAGTAGTCAAAAACATCTTTAAATAATGCAAATTTATCTTGAGGAGAAAAAGCTGCAGTTTGACTTGGAATAAAAACGGAGAGAGTGTGGAGACGACAGGGACTTTGCACTGTTTATTTGGGTTGTGAAATCATGTGATATGAATCCATCGAGTTGTACAAAGTGTAAATTCAGTGTAAGAAACAGGGTTTACAAATATGTACAGTCCATCTCCACGGTTAAATAAGTTGTCATTTTCATAGATAAGGGGTCGATATATGAAGGTAGATATCACCCAAAATAGATTGTGAGTCTCCTAAATATGTTTTGGCGGATATCTACCTCCATACCGGAGGTCGCACCCAAATGTAGCGGTATATTCTATGCACTAAACAGCAGTCTTGCACGTTACAGCAGTAAGAAAGACAAGCGGCATCAGAATAAAACATACGTTTCTGTTTCTGCTCAACATTTTGGGATTGAAAGCAGAAAGTACAGTAAAAAGTTTCTTCATATTCCTGAAGTTTCAATGGAGTTTGGTTGCATTTTAGTAGCAACATTTATATGAAGACTAGAGAGCAAATTATATAGAGCATTTGTTTCAACATATAGCTTAAATTCCAAGTTATAGCAAAATATAAGATCAAATTCTTTAAATTGTGCAGAAGAACAAGTATGCTGTGCTTTGATAATAAGATAACACCTTCAACCTATCGTGACTGTGAGAAAACTTACCCGAATGGTAAAAAAGGAGAGCAAAATGTAAAATCTAAAAAGACAATATTGGTCCTGGTCTACGAGTATGGATCAAAAGGTAAATAAAGATAAAACATGTTTATTGACTCTAGAGTTGCAGTTTCCACAAAAAAGAAGACTAAGATATCTTAACTACCATAACATTATAATAACAGAAATGATACTTAATTAGATTATCTTCAGCTCAAAACTATCCCATGGTTTTACATTTTCCAAAACTTAAGTTATTTTTCATTCTTCTAATGTGCAATATATTATCAAATAAAATAAATTCTGAATTTAAAAAGTAAAACAAAAACCCTTTTGGTATTTCAAAAACAATTTGCTCATAGATAATATATTAATTTCCTTTAACTATGCAAACACCTAGATATTTTTCACAATAAATATAGGTGAGTCCACACAGGTACTGTGACATATCATAATTAACATTCATACATAATAGAATCAAAATGGCTGAAATGTTGACCGTATGTATCCCAGTTTGAGTCGGTAGACAGAGATCGTAAATTGGTACCAGAGGTCAATTCTGTACTGCGACGTAGACAGTTTTTCTATTCGGAATACACATAGCACCGTGATGACCCAGAAAAAGCACAGGTTTGTCATGATGTAGTACACAGCTTTGTACTGTTGGTGGTGATTGTCACTTCTTTAGGGGAAAGTAAAGCAGGGAGAAGTTACAGCGTAAAATACATAGAAAACTGTGCTATATACCTGGAAATGTGGGTTTTGTCAAGTTAACCTTCATGACACCTACGTTTGAGTATTAAAGGCAGATTTGGAGGCTGTGTCCAAGAGAGACACTCACACATACACACACACACTGGAACCTGAAGGTCCATAGGTCTGGACAGATCATGTATCAGCTTTAGTTTAAGTTGAAGTCCTTTAGGCCAAAGAGAAGGACCAGGGGCAAGAGGGTTGGGTTTGGGGGGGGGTCTTGGAATGAATCGACACAGTAAAACTATGTGTTTGACAGACACATAAGATGGGCCTGGTGGGTGTGGCTTTCGATGCTTCATGTGTTGGCGTTGTCGGCTGCCGATTGGTTATTCTCAGCGTGCTTGAACATCAGGATAGAGTTGTAGATCTTGAGGGCGGGGCCGAGTTTTACGCTCATGATCTTGACAATGTCCCGCTGGGTCAGCAGCAACAAGGCCTTCCCGTCAATTTGCTGTTGGAAGACAACCAATCAGATTACAGCATGGGTCAACAGCTGACGTGCAGTCAATTGAACCCAGTGAGAGGGGTAAAAAATCTCTCTCACTCTCTAAGGGCTACAGATAACCCTATGTTATCTGTCACTATATAGAGTATGAGCAGTTTGATCAGTGGACACTATTCATACAATTCCTATTTCATTTATGAAATGGTAATCAAGTACTAGATTGTGATGTCTTGTTCAACGACTAGACATGCCAGTCACATTCCGTGTATGTAAAAGAAGACGCTCTTGTGCAGAGTGACTTACAATTAGCGCATTCATCTTAAGATAACTTGGTGAGACAACAACACATCACACTCATATCAAGGACATTTTCCCTCAATGTATTTTGGGGTGGGGGTTAAGAGGGGGGCGTAGGGGGGCGCCGTGAGAGTTATATACACGATACTCTTCAAAGAGGTAGGGTTTCACAACTATGGAGCCTCAACTGGGATTGCTGAAAAATTGATTTTAACTACCAAGAGAGCAGTGGCAAATACTGTAGTCAGATTAGCTGAGGCAAATATGGCTGTGCTCGGAATGCTAATCGCTACCGCTATTAGTTTCCAATTAATTGCTTTGGATTCCAGTGATGTCTCCTTAAGTCAGTATAATTCTCAACGCAAACAAACCCTGACCAAACATTGGGGGGAAAAAAGGAGTGGAATCCATTCCTCTGGGTGTTTCGTTGCAGACAACTATAACGGCAAAAGGCTACTCCGCACCTGTTTCCCCTCATTTACCGTATGGAGGAAGACAAGCCTTAAAACTCAGACTGGGGGACCAGATGTTGTGTCACCTCTTACCTCCTCTTTGAACTGATTGGCTTGTTCATCGCAGCCGGGGAGAGAGTGGATGAAGTCAGCCACCTGGACAAAGACAAGCAGAGGACAGACAGACAGGTTAGCGTCTGGGAGACCGTCTCGATGGAGAGAATCTAGTGTAATTACCATAGAAACGCTTTGCTCGAACCCTCCCAGTCATAAGGCCAACATAACATCACATGGCATAACATCACAAGTCATGACTGATTATGACATATGCTATGCCATTCCTATGGCAGTCTTATGTAGGCCTTATGATGAAGGGTTTCAGTAAAGAAGTGTAACCGTTTTCATCAGTGAGTGTTGATAGAAAAACAACAGACATCAGTGAGATCAGCGAGTGATGTGTGAAGCTACAGCCCGTCGAGTCTCATCATCACCAGTCAGAACAACAAATCATGTTGATATTGAGAAAGCGTTTGCCTGTGGGCACTGACATTTTCCTGACGCTATAAAGAAGCTAGCGATAATGCCATTCCATCAATACTAAAAGATGGCTTAAAAAGCAGTCAAAATATTAACAATTTAAAGCAAACTAGACTCAAAATTATGGGATAGCATTCAATCCATATCAATTAATAAAACATATCCAGTGTCACCTTTGACTTCTACTGAACCATTTGAGCTACAGGAGAGGAAAGAGAAAACTTTTTGGAGAGCTTTGGAAACTTCCAATAATAGTCCGGGTTAGCTGGGGTTCTAGTGGGCCTGACTGCCGCTGGTACTGGGATAACACCCAGGGAATTCAGGGAGGTCAGAGAGAGCCAGAAGCTGCTATATGATGGACATCAACTGCTTTACAACAGGGGACTATCTGCTGGGAGCCACTAACGTAAGACTATAGCCTACAGAAAGCCAGTGGGCCTGCCAAAACCTTGTCAAATGATGCTTTTTAAAAATCGAATGAAAGGGATGGCGGGGCGTAAAGTGCTACAGTGAAAATGCTAGTGAAAATTACTTAAATTCATTATCCCAAAAAACAACAAGTTCTCTCTTCCTCCTCTGTCAGGTTCTTCTTACCATAATGAAAACATGGAAATTAGCCATCAAGCTAAATTACAGGACACCAAGATAACGTTTCAAGTTTTATTAATTGTATGTACAGGATACACACTGTCCAACGAAATACTAACTTGCAGGTTCCTTCTCGACAACGCAACAAGAAATAAAGAAGTCATGTATAGAGCATGGCCCAAACGGCTAAAACAAAAGCCAAACATTGGAGAAAACACTCGCTGCATTCCTGCTACACGAGGATGTGCTAAACAGCTGATCTATAGGACTGATTATGAAACAACAGTTTGTTCCAGTCCCAGACCCTTCGGGCCTCCCGAAGCTCCTCACCTCACCCCGCTAACACCCCTAAATAACACCTCCCAAAATCTATTACCTCACTGTGCTTCACTGGCCAGTACCAAAATAAACACAGATGTCCCTCTCTACTCAGACCCAGGCCTTGTTCTTAAAATGGATCCTTCCTGCCTTCCTTCCTTGACGTAATCACCCATCTGACATGACTGGAAGGAAGAGCGCGTTTCAAGAGAATCTGAACAGGGCCACAGTGGCTAGAAGGCACAGCAATTGAATGTCAGTGTTCATAGATGTCAATGGAGCTAGAGGATGCTGTCACTACAGGTTATGAGGTCTGTGGAGACCAATACGGTGTTTCCAAGAGTTGATATCTCTGCCATGTAGAATCATGAAAATGCAGCCTCTGAATATGGCTCCTTGAAGCAACTAGCCAGTAGCGTGTAATGGGTTCAAATACTATTTGTTTCCTTTCAAATACTTTGAGCTTTTGATTTAGCCTACCTGGAGTGCCAGATGGGTGGGGTTTGCGCGTTTGATTCCATTGGTTAAGCTCAAGCTCAACCAAGCACAGCTTAAGTATCTGAAAGCAAACAGGTACCATTTGAATCCAGGTCTGGAGTGGTAGGTCTATCAAGGCTGAAGCATTCTGCTAGCACTAGCTGCAGCAGACTACCTGCTACCGGAGTGACTTGTAAAATATCTGGCCTCAACGTCAGACAGACAGAGAGAGAGAGTAAATTTCAGTGTCTGTCTACATTACAGTGAGGAGAGAAATCTGAACTGCGACATACTGTATTCTCCGGGACATGATTAGCTAAATGCTCTATTAGCTAAGTGCTATTTATGGAAGTTCTTCAAAAAGAAAGATCAAGACATTTCTAGAGTGGGTTGGAATTCAAATCGGAAATCTAAATTTGTGCTGGAATTATTCATGAATCAAAACAGTTCTCCAGTTTCAAAAGCATCAGCCTATGAAGATGTTATTAACAATGACAATACACCATCATCCATTTACTACCAACAATATCAATTTGTAACTTTTGAAAACCTTTCCCAAATAATCATACATTCTGGTCAACACACATGCTCCTTGATCCAAGCTTCATCCTAACAATTCCTAGTATGTGCTCCAGCGCTACAAATGCAAATGGTTGAGTCAGCTAAGTGTTTCGTCTGCCATATTTGGGATGTAAACCTTTCCAGCCAGTGTGTGTTAAAGTGTGACAGGAGTGGGTAGAGCACTAAAATCCTGTTACAGTCCTGGGTGAGACTGGGTGAGAAAGTAGCGCGCTTGGAGCAGAGCCTTTGTGAGGCTGGTCCCATGGCAGGACTCCCAGCACTACTTCCATGGAGGGTGACACAAGAGGACATTCTCCTCCACACCGGCTGCTGACACCCTCTCTTTTTCGCTCTTAGGAAAATATGATGGGCTATAATTGGCCTCGCAGGAGTCCAGGCAAAGGGGCCGAAACATTGACCTTTCCGTTTGAAAGCGGCGCTTTTGAAGAACTTTGACTATCTCTCTCTTTGAGAGTCAGAGAGAGAGAGAGAGGGGGGTGGAGTTGAAGGCCAGATGGGGTGTCACTGTAGTGGAATGAGTGCATAGATATGATCGGGATCAAGAGCTGGCAGGATAATGAACCCCATGAATGAAAGATTCAGCCTTGCAGATACAAGAAACCCAGAAGATATCTTAAAGTGTATCTTAACTACAGTATGTCCAGCTGAATGGTGAAAGGAGATGGGAAATACACATACGTAACATATGAATAGATATGTATGGGAGGGTTGATGAAGATACTGGAGATAGTGGTGCTCCAGACCAGAACTGGTCGTCTTGTGTGGCTCAGTAGGTAAGAGTGCGATGCTATCAACGCTAAGGTTGTGGGTTCAATTCCCAAAGGGATCACAAAAAAATAATAAGCACAGTGCTTTGGATGATAGTGTGTGCTATTACATGATGCAATGCTAAAACCACTCAGTTAGCTACCGGTTAGGTTGGAGAAGTGCTGGCTGATTGGTGATAGTGAAATGTCCCCATTCAGCACTGCTCCAGGCTATCAAACTATAGGCTCAAGCTATAGAACCTCGGCTAAGGGCTTCCTGAACTCCCTGACTGTGAGGGAGGTGAAGTAGGGAAACATCTGTAGGTTAGTGGGTGTTATACAAGCCTATATAAGCAGTGCTCCTCTCCTTCTAGCCGTTCCCTTTTCCAGTCCTCCTTCCTCCCTCCCTCCCTACTGCAATCACGCTCCTTCCACTCTGCCAAATCCCCACAACCGCCAAGACAAAACTTCCACCTCCGGTAAAACTTGATGACATTCTATCCTCCACCTCTCTGCAGGTTGCTGTCACAAGACAAGCCTGGGCCATGTTCGGTATGCACAACACTGAACTCTGCAGATTGAAATGTCATGAATAGAGCCGATGTGATGCCTTTTTCTGGACGTCAGAGGAGCGTGTTTGTTCTACGTAATATATTTATGTTGCATCTTAGATGCTGGGTTCTTTACTGGTGACTGAGACTTCGCTAATTTGTAAAACAACGGAATACGCTTGTGTCACATTCACACAAGTAACACAGATAGCCATATTAGCTGCTCCTACTAACCCTACTGCCTTCCCAGGTGAGCCCCTTGCCTCCCAATAGCCAAATCACACTCTTTGGAGGACAGTAACCCAATTGCTATTTGTTAATTCAAACCACAACCCTTTTGGAATTAACATGATTGGTTATTACGAATAATAATGTTTCCAACACACCACAATTTATATCTGAATGTCCATTGCTGTTGTGTGCTCAGTGATAGTATTGGTTACCTCTACTGTGCTCCGAGGATCCTTCCAGCTTTTTTTAAATTTTTTTTTATATCTCACTCTCTTCCTCTCCCCCTCCCCCCTCCCTCCTCCTTCCTTCCCCCTGGTGTGCCTTGTTGGCGCCCACTCACTCCTCAACACTGCCGCAGTGTAGTTGGAAAATTCTCCACCCCGTTACAGGGGTGTGTGATCTTCTCGTTGTTACCGTTGGAGATGCTCAGCGGCGGCAGAGAGGAGCGGAGAAGGTATGTGTGTAGCGAAAGTGAAATAATAAAGTAGCCCCCATCATCTCCATCAATCAACAGAGATGAAGAGAGAGTGCTTAGCAACCGCGGGATGATCGTGGCGTTGGCCGTATCGCGCACGCCGTTTAGACGGGGGACGTCGGCATGTCAATTAATTCTAAAGAGTGGAGCGGCCTCGCTGAGGGATTCTGACATTTCAATTGAGTCTCGTACTCTAACCAGAGAGGGAAACATCCAAGGATTTGTATTTTCTCAAGTGACAGCTGACGTTTCAATATATTTGGACTGATATCAATTTGGCTTGACAAAGCAGGTTTGAAACACAATACGAGGGGACTAACAAACTGTGCTACAGTCTGTTCAATATAATAGATAGAGGGTACGACGAGGCATAAGGATCAACCAAATAAATAAAATGGTTGAAAACATTATTATTCATACACCTACACATTACCATCATTTCATTTCTACCACTCTCTCCTTTATGCCCACAATGCATCAACTGTAAACATTTATGCCCACAATGCATCAGCTGTAAAACATTTATGCCCACAACGCATCAACTGTAAACAAACAGTAGACTCTCTGAGTCTATTTACCACTAGGCTCTCTGGCTGCGAGGGTCAAAGTTTACGGTCACACCTGGTTGCTATGGTGATGTGCCTTTGTCAAGCTCTCTCTGAAGCCTGATATCAACAGTAGAAGAGAAATGACAGGGTGGAAAGGAGACAGACTGGACAGTACTGTACACTCTGGTTCCCTATAAACCCAACTGACAGACGACTGGGTTACACAACAAACGTTAGTATAAGGGAATAAGGTTTTCTATATGTGAACTAAGGGCAAATATAATCCCAACACCTTTCCTTTACACTGCAGCAAGCCACATGTAGAGCAAACTCAACAATACAAGGACCTATAAGGGCCTATACAAGGACGTATAAGGACCTATACGGACCTATAAAGGACCTATACACGGACCTATAAGAACCTATAAGGACCTATACGGACCTATACGGACCTATAAGAACCTATAAGGACCTATACAAGGACGTATAAGGACCTATAAGGACCTATACGGACCTATAAAGGACCTATACACGATACAATACCAGATGATGAAACAAACTAAGGTGAGACATCGGCTGAATCCCAAATCACCCCCTTCCTCTCACCCCTCCATTTGCTCATTCACGTGCGCCTGCGCCATTTGCACAAGTGTCCCAAGGGAGGGAGTGAACTGTATTGAGGGTGTAGGGCAGGGGTAGGCAACCCTGTTCCTAGAGTGTTGCAGGTAATTTTGTTCCAACTAGGCACCACACCTGACCAACTGAGCTAATGGATCAGTTCAGTGATTGATAAATGTAACACATCTGGCCTTCCAGGTCGGTTAAATAAAAACATGAAGTGCCTGCGCCAATCCAGGACCAGGGTTGCCCACCCCTGGTGTAGGGACTAATTATACCTTCAGGTAGCCATTTCGACCGAGCCTGCAAGGCTGCAGGCTTCAGAGCAAAGTGTTATCCCGACAAGCACTGCAATATGTTTGGAGTTTGCGCAATTTGATACAAAATAATGGAGATAATTATATGCCACGTACATTTGTTTATGTCTGATTTCGAGACTTAACACATGTAACAGATGAAACAACTCCCAAATTAAATGTTTAACTGTAAATCTTGAAAAACGACAGGGTAGATTTGTTCATTTGAATTTCATGCTAGGTTTATTATTTAAAAGTGGAACATGAATCGCATCATTGAAGTCAGAAGTGTGTCCCGAAATTGATAGGTTAATTGATCCCCTTGCCACTCTCTGGAAGTCATCATCAGAGTTTAGTCAGCAACAGCAGGTTGGTAGGGGCAAGGTGGTGGTTTGGGATTCACCGATCATCAAGCATACGTCAACGGGTGTGTGTGTGTGTGTGTGTGTGTGTATGTGACCTGTATGAGTGTGTATGTGTATTTATTATGGATCCCCATTAGTTCCTGCCAAGGCAGCTACTCTTCCTGGGTCCAGCAAGATTAAGGAAGTTATAAATTTTAAAGACATTACAATACAATACATAACAGATTTCACAACATATTAAGTGTGTGCCCTCAGGCCTCTACTCCCACATATCTATAACACAAATTCCATGTGTGTATAGAGCGTATGTTATCGTGTGTTTGTATGCATGTGTCACTGCTTCTCTCTACATCATTTCAACTATCGATTCACAGGTGCATGTGTGTATGTATGCATGTACGTGTGGATGTGTGTGTGCTCTCACCTCGTCCGCGGTCCAGTGGGCCACGCAGCTGGCCTGCAATCCAGCCACCCCAGGCAGCAGCTTGCAATGCTGCTCCCAGCACAGGGGTAAGTCCCGTCCGGGTTGGGCCGACATGGCCGACAGGAACACAGACTGGTGGAGGGCCTGCTGCAGGCTGTCCAGACCGCGCTCTGGAGGCGGAAAGAGAGAGAGAGAGGGGGGGGGGGGGGGGTATACATGTTATTAATGTGTTGCCAATGTGACTGTTAGTGAATGAGTGAGATCACTTTCTTTCTTACTCACTCAGAGAGAGACTGAGAGACACAGAGAGAGAGAGAGAGAGAGAGAGAGACAGAGACAGAGACAGAGACAGAGACAGAGACAGAGACAGAGACAGAGACAGAGACAGAGACAGAGAGAGAGAGAGAGAGAGAGACAGACAGACAGACAGACAGACAGACAGACAGACAGACAGACAGACAGACAGACAGAGAGAGAGGAGCAAGAGAGAGAGTGAGAAAGTGTTTATTCAAGTGTAAAAAACGCACAGTAGTAAAGTCAAGCGACAGACCTAAGACTTAAGTTATTTTTCCTTTTGATTTTGCAGTGCATCAACGAAGCGATTTGCGTTCAGCTTCGTTTCCTTTCTTTCATTTACTTATTTTCTAATGCTTTTAATTTTCTAATGCTTTTAATTTTCTAATACTCTTATGCCATTGTGCCAAAACAGAGGAGTAAAAGGAAGAATCCACTCCTTAGTCCCTTTTGACAGCACAGTGCAGATGCTTCTCTCTTCATTAACCGTAACACACAGCGGTAGATAAGAAGAATGAAGTGTTCCTGAGTTGTTTGTAGGACGATGGACTAGGGGAGACACTAATGGTTATGTCATGACTGACCGATGAAGAAGCAAGCCTGTGTGTGTGTGTGTACTGACAGCAGGAACAGGGTCAGATACAGGACACGCTGTTTTTCTTCTAGTTGTCTCCTAGCGATGTCTCCACGAAGCAGAGATGAGTTTGACATGCTTGTCAACTGTGACATTTGTCTAGATTTGCTGCTCTGATGGCCAAATATAGCTAACATCTTTAGCCTACGCAGTCCCCAAAGGGTTTTTAATAGTTATTAAGACGATTATTATGATTAAGATTCAAATCAGTGTGTCATCTGCGTTATATTGCACACAATCATACGGTATAGTGTGAGGGGATTTCTGTGAGAACTGGAATACATGCAGAACAGATATACTATCCTTTGGACTGCCTTGTCTCAACTTTTAGTTGTAGTGTTCTTAGTTTGAGATATTACCTTTCTACTGTACTTCTGCTCTTGCCTTTGAAGCTGTCATCCAATTAAAATGTGGTGTTGCCTGTTTTTATTATTAAGAACAATCTAATAACTTGCAGAGACAACGCAATAGCTTTGAAGTGCTGTCCATTTAAGACATTTTTTCTTTGGTTAAATAATGGCTAAATGAAAGTTTAAGGTTCTAAAAGGTAACAGTATAAGGTCACTAAAATTGATGTGGATTTTGAGATGCCAAGACCTAAAAAAAAACAAGAAAAAAAAACAAAACAAGTATTGTCAATTAAACAACTCTAGAGCTCCCTTCATTTAGTTGACTTCCCGCCGACAGCAGACACAGCCACAAACCCCGCCACTGCCTCAATATGACACGTGAAAACCCAGTCACCTCCTTCCTGTTTGACACAGAAAGCTTTAATGTCATTACAGGAACACAGGCCTACTTTGATCATACAACTTTGATCATGGTGCCACGGTACAGCGCCCTCAGAGAAAGGAAGTACGCAACACAGCCCTGTAATGTGGAGCGCACAATTACGCCACAACCAAACATAGGGCCGAGAAACTACACAGGAAACATGGATTGGATCACCCTAGCACAGGGTCTGCAACCTTTATGACTGGAAGAAAAAAAAAATCAAAAAAAAAAAAAAAAAAAAATAGAAATGTTGGGGGCGCCGCACAAGAAATTCTTTCACCACGGATAGCAGTCGGATGAAATTACCATGAAATCTGGTGTTCAGGGTCACAGAGCAGTGGACACGGAAGCTATCTGGTGAAGTTGCAGGGAGAATCGAATCTCGTGAACATACAGTAAATATGCTGCAGGAGTGATGTTACTTATTGATAAAAAATTTTACCAAAGAAGGAAAAATGGTTCTCCAGTGATTAACTGAAATACCCACATCAAGCCCCGCAAGAAACTGATTAATAAAACTCAGATACACAAGTATTATAATGCAAACAGAAGGTTTGATTGTAACTGAATACAAAGTGTTGTGTGTTTCTTTACTTTTATATTTATACAGTGGGGAGAACAAGTATTTGATACACTGCCGATTTTGCAGGTTTTCCTACTTACAAAGCATGTAGAGGTCTGTAAGGTCTGTAAAAATCCAGAAAATCACATTGTATGATTTTTAAGTAATTCATTTGCATTTTATTGCATGACATAAGTATTTGATACATCAGAAAAGCAGAACTTAATATTTGGTACAGAAACCTTTGTTTGCAATTACAGAGATCATACGTTTCCTGTAGGTCTTGACCAGGTTTGCACACACTGCAGCAGGGATTTTGGCCCACTCCTCCATACAGACCTACTCCAGATCCTTCAGGTTTCGGGGCTGTCGCTGGGCAATGCAGACATTCAGCTCCCTCCAAAGATTTTCTATTGGGTTCAGGTCTGGAGACTGGCTAGGCCACTCCAGGACCTTGAGATGCTTCTTACGGAGCCACTCCTTAGTTGCCCTGGCTGTGTGTTTCGGGTTGTTGTCATGCTGGAAGAGCCAGACACGACCCATCTTCAATGCTCTTACTGAGGGAAGGAGGTTGTTGGCCAAGATCTCGCGATACATGGCAGTAGTTTGCAGGTAGTTTGTGTTGCATCACCCTCTGGAGAGCCCTGTGGTTGCGGGCGGTGCAGTTGCCGTACCAGGCGGTGATACAGCCCGACAGGATGCTCTCAATTGTGCATCTGTAAAAGTTTTAGGGTTTCAGGGGCCAAGCCAAATTTCTTCAGCCTCCTGAGGTTGAAGAGGCACTGTTGCGCCTACTTCACCACACTGTCTGTGTGGGTGGACCATTTCAGTTTTTCAGTGATGTGTACGCCGAGGACCTTGAAGCTTTGACCTTCTCCACTGCGGTGCAGTCGATGTGGGTAGGGGTGTGCTCCCTCTGCTGTTTCCTGAAGTCCACGATCAGCTCCTTTGTTTTGTGATTGAGTTGGAGTTGTGCGTGGCCACGCAGACATGGGAGGAGGGGGCTGAGCACGCACCCTTGTGGGAACCCTGTGTTGAGGATCAGTGAAGTGGAGGTGTTGTTTCCTACCTTCACCACCTCGGGGTGGCCCGTCAGGAAGTCCAGGACCCAGTTGCACAGGAAGGGGTTCAGACCCAGGGCCCCGAGCTTAATGATGAGCTTGGAGGGTAATATGGTGTTGAATGCTGAGCTATGGTCAATGAACAGCATTCTTACATAGGTATTCCTCTTGTCCAGATGGGATAGGGCAGTGTGATAGCGATTGCATCGTCTGTGGATCTATTGGGGCGGTAAGCAAATTGTAGTGGGTCTAGGGTGACAGGTAAGGTAGCGGTGATGTGATCCTTGACTAGTCTCTCAAAGCACTTCATGATGACAGAAGTGAGTGCAACGGGGCGATAGTCATTTAGTTCAGTTACCTTTGCTTTCTTGGGTACAGGAACAATGGTGGTCATCTTGAAGCAAGTGGGGACAGCAGACTGGGAAAGGGAGAGATTGAATATGTCCATAAACACTCCAACCAGCTGGTCTGCGAATGCTCTGAGGACGCGGCTAGGGATGACGTCTGGGCCGGCAGCCTTGCGATGGTTAACACGCTTAAATGTCTTACTCATGTCGGCCACGGAGAAGGAGAGCCCACAGCGTTGGTGGCACGGTGTTGTCCTCAAAGCAGGCGAAGAAGGTGTTTAGCTTGTCCGGATGCAAGACGTCGGAGTCCGCGATGTGGCTGGTTTTCCCTTTGTAGTCCGTGATTGTCTGTAGACCCTGCCACATACGTCTCGTGTCCGAGCCATTGAATTGCGACCCCATTTTGTCTGTACTGACGTTTTGCCTGTTTGATTGCCTTACGGAGGTAATAACTACACTGTTTGTATTCAGCCATATTCCCAGTCACCTTGCCATGGTTAAATGCGGTGGTTCGCTCATTCAGTTTTGCGCGAATGCTTCCATCTATCCACGGTTTCTGTTTTGGGTAGGTTTTAATAGTCACAGTGGGTACAACATCTCCTATACACTTCCTGATGAACTCAGTCACCGTATCCGTGTATTCGTCGATTTTATTCTCAGAGGTTACACAGAACATATCCCAGTCCGCGCGATCTAAACAATCTTGAAGCATGGATTCCGATTGGTCAGACCAGCGTTGAATAGACCTTAGCATGGGTACCTCCTGTTTGTGTTGCTGCCTATAGGAAGGGAGGAGAAAATTGTCGTGATCAGATTTGCAGAATGGAGGGCAGGGGAGGGCCTTGTAGGCATTTCGGAAAGTTGAGAAGCAGTGGTCCAATACTTATTTACATAAGTATTCAGACCCTTTGCTATGAGAATCGAAATTGAGCTCTGGTGCATCCTGTTTCCATTGATCATCCTTGAGATGTTTCTACAACTTGGAGTCCACCTGTGGTAAATTCAATTGATTTGGAAAGGCACACACCTGTCTATGTAAGGTCGCACAGTTTACAGTGCATGTCAGAGCAAAAACCAAGCCATGAGGTCTAAGGAATTGTCCGTAGAGCTTCGAGACAAGATTGTGTCGAGGCAAAGATCTGGGGAAGGGTACAAAAAAAGTGTCTGCAACATTGAAGGTCCCCAAGAACACAGTGGCCTCCATCATTCTTAAACGGAAGAAGTTTGGAACCACCAAGACTCTTCCTAGAGTTGGCCGCCCGGCCAAACTGAGCAATCGGGGGAGAAGGGCCTTGGTCAGGGAGGTGACCAAGAACCCGATGGTCACTCTGACAGAGCTCTAGAATTCCTCTGTGGAGATGGGAGAAACTTCCAGAAGGACAACCATCTCTGCAGCACTCTTCCAATCAGGCCTTTATGGTAGAGTGGCCACACGGAAGTCACTCCTCAGTAAAAGGCACATGACAGCCCGCTTGGAGTTTGCCAAAAGGCACCTAAAGATTCTCAGACAATGAGAAACAAGATTCTCTTTAGCCTGAATTTCAAGCGTCACGTCTGGAGGAAACCTGGCACCATCCCTATGGTGAAGCATGGGTGAAAGCATCATGCGGTGGCGTAGTTTTTCAGTGGCAGGGACTGGGAGACTAGTCAAGGTCGAGGCAAAGATGAATGGAGCAAAGTACAGAGAGGTCCTTGATGAAAACCTGCTCCAGAGTGCTCAGGACATCAGACTGGGGCAAAGGTTCACCTTCCAACAGGATAACGACCCTAAGAACACAGACAAGACAACGCAGGAGTGGCTTTGGGAAGTCTCTGAATGTCCTTGAGTGGCCCAGCCAGAGCCTGGACTTAAACCCGATCAAACATCTCTGGAGAGACCTGAAAATAGCTGTGCAGCGACGCTCCCCATCCAACCTGACAGAGCTTGAGAGGATCTGCAGAGAAGAATGGGAGAAACTCCCCAAATACAGGTGTGCCAAGCTTATAGCATCATACCCAAGAAGACTTGAGGCTGTAATCGCTGCCAAAGGTGCTTCAACAAAGTACTGAGTAAAGGGTCTGAACACTTATGTAAAATGTCATATACGTTTTTAATTTTTAATAAATTAGCAAAAATGTCAAAAAAGCTGTTTTTACTTTGTCATTATGGGGTATTGTGTGTAGATTGATGGGGGGGGGGGGGGAAGACAATTTCATACATTTTAAAATAAGGCTGTAACGTAACAAAATGTGGAAAAAGTCAAGGGGTCTGAATACTTTCCGATGGCACTGTATGATAATATATGCCACTTAGCAGACGCTTTTATCCAAAGCGACTTACAGTCATGCGTGCATACATTTTAGGTATGGGTGGTCCCAGGAATCGAACCCACTACCCTGGCGTTACAAGCACCATGGTCTACCAATTGAGCTACAAAGGACCACAAATAAATATATTTTTCTTTCGGAGGCGGAAACCTAGCCAGGGAACCGCAATGGGGGGGTTAGAAGAGTAGCATGCGGCTCAAGTGGGTTGCCGACAGCATTTTACCCTCCTATTCTAGAACCAATATCCTCCTCCTGTGTTTTCTATAAATAAAACAGTCATAAGGCGTACCGTCACATTTCATTGGATGACATAAGAGATCAAACTGAAAAGGTAATAAGCTATGTGAAAAGAACGGGAACATTATTACATATGTATTTTTAGACAAACAAATTCAATTACCCTGCCTTATTATGCTCCATCAAAATAACAAGCTCGGGAGAAAGAAGACAACATACAATAGTTACCATGGCAATGTTTCCATATAAAGCAGGGGCTTTGCTGTGTTGCAGTGTTTTAGATCTGTCTGCTTTGTTTCAACGACACACACACCCCTCTCTCTGAGTGAAACTGCGATTTCCCAGCATGCAGGCTACGGGGGGTGGGGGAGTGCAGAGGAAAACAGAAAGGGCCTTTCAAAGCTCCCCCCCCCCCCCTTCCCTGTGGGCATAGCCGAGGAAGTGTCTCGCTCATATGTTACTGGCGAGCAGAGATGAATTTCAAACGTGTGGAGAGCCAGCAGACAGGAGCACTGGAGGACTGGGGATATGTTAATGGGGTGGTGGTGCAGGGGTTGGTGGCCATCTTCTGGGAAGGTATAGGAGTGAGTGAGTCAGTGAGCTGCAGGGGGAACAGATCGGACATGGTGTGTCACACTAGAGAGACAGCCTGGCTCCAGGGATGGCTTCTCCGTCATTAATAAACATCTCAACGTGTGTGTGTGTAATAATAATAATAATACAAATTAATAATATGCGCGCGTGTGTGATTGTGTGTGTGTGAGACTGCATAAGAAATATCAGACAGCTTGACAACGTGTCAGGAGACTGACACAACCAGAGTCCCATGCTCTGTGACATTACAGTTGGACCGTGAAGCCTCGTCAAACACACCATTGTCAAGTTATTTAGGTCTTTTAATTGATTGAGCGTTACTGACCGATTTCCCTACACCTGAATGCGAGAGTTATGGAGTCCTGTGAACAAGTCGGGGCAGTTGGATTCTGTAATGCTGCGAGCCCCAGGACTTCAAAACACTGCGCTAACAGACAAAAAAGGGTCGAAAATTGATTTCCTGGCAAACACTTCTTAAAACATTCTGAGAATCCCCTGTGGTGGTGAAACATGCATTTTCCATCCCCCAGTGAGCGTGAAACTCCTGTAACAGACTGCTGCTACCAAAGCCTGCATGCGCTTTAACCGTATATGGACTACCTGCACACTGCCACCGAGAAACTTTTACTTACTGCCGGGTTAGCGCTAGAGCTAATGAAAGCTAATCTCCTGACGTGTCGCTCACTCGTGAATGTGGGAAAATCAATAAACTGCAGACCTCCGGTTTCACATTGAAGCACACCACTCAAATACACCCATTATCATGCCCCCGGTGATGCAGGCAGTCTTGTTGTCACTGGATTGATGGTAGCAGCACCGCCAGGCAGAAACCAGAACAATTAGTGATGTTTCGCAGCGTTCATGACACGATAGCACCGACCTCACACTGTGTATTTGAGTGGAACTATTAATATCGTGATTAGTAGAATAAGATATGTTCTGAAAATGCTTTGAGGTTACTTATGATAAATCAGATGGATTCCTATGGTTATTAGTAAGCATAATAAATTGTGACGAAGTTAATGCTAAAATGCCATTACATCTTCAAACTTTTTCCCCAACCTAAAAGTGACTACTTTTAAAAACTATTTGAATACAGATCTCAGAAAGTGACTACTTTTAAAAACTATTTGAATACAGATCTCAGAAAGTGACTACTTTTAAAAACTATTTGAATACAGACCTCAGAAAGTGACTACTTTTCAAATCTATTTGAATACAGATCTCAGAAAGTGACTACTTTTCTGAAAGGATTGACTGCCTTCAACTAATGGCAGGGTACCAAAACATTTCTGCAGCCTTGAAGGTCCCCAAGAACACAGTGGCCTTCATCATTCTTAAATGGAAGAAGTTTGGAACCACCAAGACTCTTCCTAGAGCTGCCCGCCTGGCCAAACTGAGCAATTGGGGGAGAAGGGCCTTGGTCAGGGAGGTGACCAAGAATCCGATGGTCACTCTGACAGTTCCTCTGTGGAGATGGGAGAACCATCCAGAAGGACAACCATCTCTGCAGCACTCCACCAATCAGGCCTTTATGGTAGAGAGGCCAAACGGAAACCATTATTCAGTAAAAGGCACATGACAGCCCACTTGGAATTAGCCAAAAGGCACCTAAAGACTCTCAGACCATGAGAAACAAGATTATCTGGTCTGATGAAACCAAGATTGAACTCTTTGGCTTGAATGCCAAGCGTCACATCTGGAGGAAACCTGACACCATCCCTACGGTGAAGCATGGTGGTGGCAGCGTCATGCTGTGGGGATGTTTTTCGGTGGCAGGGACTGGGAGACTAGTCAGAATCGAGGGAAAGATTAATGGAGCAAAGAACAGAGATCTTTGATGAAAACCTGCTTCAGAGCGCTCAGGACCTCAGACTGGGGCGAAGATTCACCTTCCAACAGGACAATGACTCTAAGCACACAGACAAGACAACGCAGGAGTGGCTTTAGGACAAGTCTCTGAATGTCCTTGAGTGGCCCAGCCAGAGCCCGGACTTGAACCCGATCGAACATCTCTGGAGAGACCTCGAAATAGCTGTGCAGCAATGCTCCCCATCCAACCTGACAGAGCTTGAGAGGATCTGCAGAGAAAAATGGGAGAAACTCCCCAAATACAGGTGTGCCAAGCTTATAGCGTCATACCCAAGAAGACTTTATATCTAAAAACCTGTTTTTTCTTTGTCATTATGGGGTACTGTGTGCAGATTGATGAGGGGAAAAAAACTATTTAATCCATTTTAGAATAAGGCTGTAACGTAACAAAATGTGGAAAAAGTCAAGGGGACTGAATACTTTCCGAATGCACTGTAAGTATAAATAAATGTGATGCTAAACTACGGTATGACACTTTCAACATGCCACTGAAAAGGTCGAAAGCTGCAATAAATTTTATAACACCCGAAAATACTGCAGAGTAATTCAAAGCCAACAGCAAGTTGGATGCTTAGCAAAAACAACTTCGAACCTCTGTCCATCTGAGGGTAAGTGTTCTTGTTTCAAACACACACTTTTCCATATTTGAAATGATAGTTTACTCAGACTACAAACTAACATGCTTTTCCACCTACCTTGGCTGTAGTTTATTCAAGAAGGCAATTTTGGGATATTTTGTTTCCTTTTGACACTTAACAGCCATATTTTGTTACTGTTAGCATTCTCAGTAACACTTAACATTAAAACGGTTGTTGTGCCTGTGTCATAAAAGAAATTACATTTGGAGCAAAATGTTTATTAGCATGTTGTTCTATAATACTTTGGTAATTGTATTTTAATTGCATAACTAGTAATAGTGACTTCCTTATTCCTCTTATGTAATAACTCCATTATTATTAATCCTCTTTAAGGAATACCTGGGATAGTGTAAAAGTAATCATTCTACCCCCCCCCCCCCCCCCCACAAAATAATAATTAATAAAAGAAAAAAAGAAAATAATTTAAAAAGAAAAAAAAAAAAAAATAACACATACATAAAATAAAAAACTATATATATATATATATATATATATATATATATATATATATATATATAACAAATGAAAATTACAAATATACTCTAAAAATAACAAATTTAAACATGAGAAAAATAGAAAAATATATATTGTAAAGTGGTTGTCCCACTGGCTATCCATAAGGTGAATGCACCAATTTTTAAGTCGCTCTGGATAAGAGCGTCTGCTAAATGACGTAAATGTAAATGTAATTATGCAACTATAATATATACTATCATATAAAGAGACAATGCATACAGTTGAAAGAAAACCCATTCTTGTTTTTCCTCTACAGCATGTAGCTCCAAGGGATCTGCATCCACTGTGTAACAGCACTGATCTCCTCTACAGCATGTAGCCCCAAGGGATCTGCATCCACTGTGTAACAGCACTGATCTCCTCTACAGCATGTAGCCCCAAGGGATCTGCATCCACTGTGTAACAGCACTGATCTCCTCTACAGCATGTAGCCCCAAGGGATCTGCATCCACTGTGTAACAGCACTGATCTCCTCTACAGCATGTAGCTCCAAGGGATCTGCATCCACTGTGTAACAGCACTGATCTCCTCTACAGCATGGTAGCCCCAAGGGATCTGCATCCACTGTGTAACAGCACTGATCTCCTCTACAGCATGTAGCCCCAAGGGATCTGCATCCACTGTGTAACAGCACTGATCTCCTCTACAGCATGTAGCTCCAAGGGATCTGCATCCACTGTTGTAACAGCACTGATCTCCTCTACAGCATGTAGCCCCAAGGGATCTGCATCCACTGTGTAACAGCACTGATCTCCTCTACAGCATGTAGCCCCAAGGGATCTGCATCCACTGTGTAACAGCACTGATCTCCTCTACAGCATGTAGCCCCAAGGGATCTGCATCCACTGTGTAACAGCACTGATCTCCTCTACAGCAATGTAGCCCCAAGGGATCTGCATCCACTGTGTAACAGCACTGATCTCCTCTACAGCATGTAGCCCCAAGGGATCTGCATCCACTGTGTAACAGCACTGATCTCCTCTACAGCATGTAGCCCCAAGGGATCTGCATCCACTGTGTAACAGCACTGATCTTTATTATTTTCTACAAAGAAACACTGCCAACTGTAGATTCACTGCTGAGTCATTGGCTGTTCCAGGTGATTAATCTTTGCTATTCTTATAAAAGACCAGAGTACTACCAAACAAAGTAAAGTGGCCTGTACTCTGATTGTTATGTGAGCTATTCTACATCTAGATACTCTTGAGCTGAATACAAGCACGCTACAAACTACGAAGCAGAGGTAATCAAAATTCAGCTCTTTTTTTCCTTCAATCGGTGTCCAGAATGTTTACAAGCAGGGTAATGAGATAATAGCCACAGCTGAAAATAAAAGATCTGCTCATCGCGCTGCACATGATTCATCGGTGAGCAGCGTCTGAGAGCCAGTGTGTGTTTGTGCTCTGAATGGCCAGCTGGGAAATTGTGACCCTGCATGCTCCTCAGGGGTAGCAGCTCAGATGCGTATGTGAAGTGAAGATGCTCCGTCGCCCCACTAGGTCCTCTTAGCTGGGTACTGGGGTCCCTTGTCACATATTACACACTTTGGTGCTGGCTGAGGCCTCCAGCTATACTCTGGTGCTGGCTGAGGCCTCCAGCTATTCTCTGGTGCTGGCTGAGGCCTCCAGCTATACTCTAGTTCAGGGCTCTCCAACCCTGAGAGCTACCATCCAACCCTAATCTAGCAAACCTGATTCTAATAATTAGCTGGTTGATAAACTGAACCGGGTTAGTTACAACTGGGGTTGGAAGCGAAAACCTACAGGAGGGTGGATCTCCAGGAACAGGGTTGGAGAGCCCTGCGTCTAGCTGCTAGAGCGTAGAGAGAGAGACAGTTATATGTGCCAGCCTGCCAGGCAGTACCAGTGATAGTGGCATCCCAGGTTAGCTACCACTGCACTGCTAGTAGGCACAGACAGAGAGGCCCGGGATACAATTGCCATGGCAACGGTCACAGCGTATTACCTGGGAGACTACAGGAGGCTGGCGGCTTGTCAAGGCTGTTTTTTGTATGCATATGTCTGTACCTCCCCAGGTAAAGGGAATGAGTCACGCTGTACCTCCCCAGGTAAAGGGAATGAGTCACGCTGTACCTCCCCAGGTAATGGGAATGAGTCACGCTGTACCTCCCCAGGTAAAGGGAATGAGTCACGCTGTACCTCCCCAAGTAATGGGAATGAGTCACGCTGTACCTCCCCAAGTAATGGGAATGAGTCACGCTGTACCTCCCCAAGTAATGGGAATGAGTCACGCTGTACCTCCCCAGGTAAAGGGAATGAGTCACCCTGAGTGGCTATTACAAAGATGAATGGCTATGTAGGTCTCGTATGGCTCAGTTGGTAGAGCATGGCGCTTGCAACGCCAGGGTTGTGGGTTCGATTCCCACGGGGGACCAGTACGAAAAAAGTAATAAAAAATATGAACATGTATGCACTCTACTGTAAGTAGCTCTGGATAAGAGCGTCTGCTAAATTACTAAAATGTCAAATGTATTATGGTGAATCACACACAAACAGATCAGATCAAAGTGCATCAATAATAATCATCATCCTCATGATTATACACACAAAGCAGCAGTGTAAAACCAAAGTTATGGTGACTGAAGTGCTGTGTGACTGAGTACACATGTTTCTTCAGAAAATGTATTCAAGAATTACAGCAAACGATGGACAGCGAAACATGCCAGCTTTTCTTCCAACAAACTGCTGCGTATCCTCAAAAAGCCATCCTTAAGGATATGGGCATTTCAACTCAATGAGATAACACCTCAGCCAAGTGCCATCTTTAAAAGTAGCTGCAAATGGGGAATGACTTAATGAATTGGGCCATGGGCCTTTGTCCAGGTCTGAAAATAAAGGTTGAAATATGTGCTCGTCACGCTCTCTCAGTAGCGTTGCCAGCTAGGCCCGAGGTCAGCCTAGGACAGAGGAGACTAGGGAGATTCATGCAGGTCGGCCCCTTCAGGCAGCTCTGCGTGGAAGACCGATAAAGGAGCGGCAATCGAAAATGGAAGGGTCCCGGCTCACACCCCTGCGGAACACCTAAATTCCCTGACAGAACCTAGTTCATCATATGAATTACTCCCACATACGATTGTCTCCGCAAGTTTATAGTCAACGTTTTCGCTGACTTTTCCCGCCAAGCAAACACTTAGACTCAAGCCGTTGGGCTATTTGAAGTTGCATCTGGCTTAACAGAGAGACCATCTGTACAGAGTGTTCGCTACACTAACCTGTTTGAATGAGGCTGTCTGTACAATAACAATGCTGAATAAAGTGTGTTTATGTACCCTCAAAAAGCCATAACAAGTCCCTTTCTGAGTGGGAGTGATGATACCTTTGTGTGCCAAGCCCAGATCCATAGCCTACAAAAAAATAACTGAGCTCTCATTTATCAGCTTGGGGAAACTACTTAAAAAATAGACTCTCGACAAAATATCTAAGATGAAAATACAGCGATACTGAGGTTACACTTCCAATTAGCCACTTGCTTTTTGGAAATTATATCTGTAGTCATGGTGTTGCATTATTAGTCAGGGCCATGTAGCATTATTAACTGACTGTTTCTTTTAAGAATGTACTTACTCTTAGTGAGTCGTGCCACATGCTTTCCCCTCAACACAGCAATTCCGCAGGTTACATAAATGCCCTTTAAAGCACACACACTTTGGAGTCTAGTGTACAGTGGGGTCTGAAATTATTGACACCCATGATAAAGACGAGGAATAATGACTGTATAAAATCAATAATTCAAATACTGAGCTATATTGTATGCAAAAAAAAGGGAAATTATATTGTTTTATACTAAGAAAGAGATTTTGTTTAACAAGTAATACTTTTTTTAGAAAAAAAAGTAGGTGTCAAAATTGTAAAAATTATTGACACCCCTAAAGATTATTTGAAAAAGAAAAGGAGAGCTGCACACTCCAGGAGCTCAGATGCAATAACCTAATAACCAACGTTTCTAGAAGACTAGCCGTCTTCATCAGGGTATAACCCCTAAAGATTATAACTAAAGTAGTCAAAAGTTTAGTATTTGGTCCCATATTCCTAGCACGCAATGACTAAATCAAGCTTGTGACTCTACAAACTTTTGTGCCCAATAGAAATGAATGCTAAATAATGTAGTGTCTTTTTTTTCAGTCACTTTTATTACAAATAAGAATTAGAATGTTTCTAAACACTTCTACATTAATGTGGAAGCTACCATGATTACGGATCATCCTGAATAACGATCATTAGAGAAGGTTAGAGGGTCAAAGATCATACCGCTAAGACATATGCATCCCATTTCTACTCAACAAGAAACAGACAACAGCTACGTCACCCTGTCACCCATATTCAAGAACAACTCATTCTCAATTCCGATTACCTACAGAGGCCCTATGATCTGGAATTCATTCCCGCCTGCTTTTGCCAAGCTATCCCCATCTTTGATGTATTTTGTTAAGAGGGGGAAGCCCAAAAGGGCTTGTCGAGTATTCCCCCCCTCCTGCACACACACACACACATATTTATTTTACTGTTTGTCTATTTGTGCAAATAAACTAAACTAAAAACTAGACATTACCAATAACAGGGGAGGTTAGCATGTCTTGGGGGTATGATCTTTGACCTTCTGAAACTCTCACTCATCATTATTCACGATTCATTCAGGATTGAATGATTGAATGATGAATCCAGAATAATTATGGATAATTACTTGTTAAAACCAAAAAAAATATTACTTGTTAAACACAATCTTTCTCTAAGCAATTGTTTTAGTATAAAAATATAATTTCTCCATTTTTTTTGCATTCAATATAACTCAGTATTTATTCTATACAGTAATTGTTATTCATCTTTATCAAGGGTGTCCCACTGTATATCTAGGGTCATTGATTATTTCAGAATGGTGTCACCATACATTTCTTCAACAGTGTCTCTGAAAAGCTTTTGTCCCATGTCTCGATCGATCTCGCCCGTTTGGTTTCTGTCACCGTCTTCGACCTTTCATTCATCATGACGATCGAGAAAAACTAAAGAAGGGTATCAAAGGCTTTCTCCACCTTTCGTTGCGGTCTATACAGATGTTAAATGAATAACCCATTGACTTCAAAATCGAAGTACAAAGGCTAAAAGATGAAGAAAAGAAAAAAAAATCTAGTATCTTTCAATAGTTGCTGAGAATCATTAAAGACATATTTACCTGAGGGCCTGAAGCAAGGCTTGCAAAATGCATGAGCAATTCTGAGAAAATACAATTAATCATTCAGCTTAACAGAAAGACTCATGCAGGAGGAGAGAAATATCCCTGTTTGACAAGATAAGTAGGCTTTTCAAACCCACAGCCTGCATTGTATTAACCAGCATTGGGAGTTTACAGAGGGTCACGAGGACCGTCAGTGACTATTTTATGTGAGTCTGTTTCTTAAATTCTATTCAAAGGCTTCATCTAAGTTTATGTAGAAGGGTCAGGTGCTGCGTACCTCAAAGATACAGTAACTGGCTAAGGAGTTATAAAAAAAAAAACTATATACACAATAGGATCACGACTAAAATAACTCTTCACCTATAAAACATAATTGTCTCCTCGTCATCCATAGTGTAGTTGATGGCTTGCCAGGTAACTACGGAATAACACTGTTAATCTGTTTAAGAAAGAACACACTGGAGGAGTAGAAGCAATTAAATTAAATGTGGCTAGCTGAGGGGCATGGTTAGCATCAAGCCACTAAACCTAATGACATGTCATTATATATCCAGGTACCAGAATGACTCATTCATATGACTGAATTACATATTAGTGCTGAACAGTGCCAATTCCAACATTCATAATTCTGAACATTGTTTATAATTTACGAGGTAGGGTTGTAAGTAATTGTATATTATTTGGAGTGACAAGACTTTGAATGATTCAGTCTGGTAAAGTCTCCTCTCTTTTAAATTCTCACCAATCCCTTAATAGGCTAATTAATGCACAAATTAAAAAAGGACAAATTAATGGACTAATAACTGATTGGATCAATAACGGACAGAACAAGAACCTTCCGCCCTGTAATACCAGTAAATCACCTGAGAGATCCTTCACAGACTAAATGCATGATAGATGGAGTTGGGAAACTAACACACCCAGACAGAAGCATCGGAAAGGGAGAGATTGATGGACACTGATTTATAGGCACCAGCTCATTAACTAAAACTCTGTGCTTTAACAAATTACATTCCCTTGATGATGCACGCTTACTTTTATCTTTGTTAATAACATCACTTTTGAACCAAATTCCTTTCACAAGCCCCAAAACTGGTGTCCCTGAACAACAGATATGAAAGTGAATGATTTGCGGGATGCTTGGGGGGGGGGAACGTCAAGAAATTAACTTAAGAGAGGACGTAGACAGAGTATTTGAATATTGGGGCATCTACAAACTCAGTCAACCAAAGTTAACAACATATCTGCTATCGTACCTGCTATTCTGTTTTACTATCACTATACACATAACATTGAAAATAATCCTTCAGTCTACATACACTGAGTGGACAAACCATTAAGAACACCTGCTCTTTCAATAACATACTGACCAGGTCAATCTAGGTGAAAGCTATGACCATTATTGATGTCACTTGTTAAATCCCCTTCAGTCAGTGTAGATGAAGGGGAGGAGACATGTTAAAGAAGGATTTTTAAGCCTTGAGACAATTGTGACATGGATTGTGTATTGTGTCATTGAGAGGGTGAATGGGCAAGACAAAAGACTTAAGTGCCTTTGAACAGGGTATGGTAGTAGGTGCCAGGCGCACCGGTTTGTGTCAAAAACTGCAACGCTACTGGGTTTTTACGCTCAACAGTGTCCTGTGTGTATCAAGAATGGTCCACCACCCAAAGGACATCCAGCCAACTTGACAACTGTGGGAAGCATTGGAGTCAACATGGGCCAGCATCCCTGTGGAACGCTTTCAACACCTTGTAGAGTCCATGCCCCGACGAATTGAGGCTGTTCTGAGGGCAAAAAGGGGGTGCAACACAATATTAGGAAGGGCTAATAAAAATTTATTGAATTAGTTTCCCCACTCAAAATCCAGAGCTAAACCTTGGAGAACTGTTCTTTGGACAGGGGACAGACATAATTCCTCATTATATATGTTTTATTATTGCCACAGCCAAGTCACAAGGGGCTATCAGATCTCAAACACATGTCCCTCTCTGCTGATAGTTCCTCATCAGTTAACTGGATTCAACAGACATGGATATTATCATCATGACATGTGTTGATTATTATGGGCTAGCTAGCCCATCAGGGGTTTGGCTGCAACTGCCACTGGACAGACTGACAGACAGTAAGGGGGAAATGAAGACTTCTGTTGTTATCTCGCCATCTCACTTCTGTTTAGTTCGACTCCAGCTCCTGTAGCACGTCTATCAAAAGCAACCCAGGTTTCTCCTCCCTCAGCTCAGAGCACTTACCAAAACAAGATTAAATGATCCTCGACCCCTGGAGGTGATGACGACAACGATGATGATGCGTTTCACTAAACATGCCCACAGGACATCAAGCTGGCTGTAATTCTGAGGCTGCTCTGTGGCTGTAGATTAGCATAATGTATTCCTGTGGTTTCTACATGAGGGCTCAGTTCTGGGCTTTGATGCAGGGGACAAGGCCATGAGACTGATGGGATCGTCGTCTCCACCTTTCATCTAGGCTAAACGCAGGCTAAACTTGAGCATAGAGAAGAATGGAGGAGACAGCCTCTACAAAGAAGAAGTGAGAGAAGATGTCACAGACATGTTTAGGTTTACAATTACTGCAGACAAAGCTATGGACACCCAAGTTAGAGAATGGAGGGTGAACGGGCGGACTAGAGGGTGAAGGATGATCAACAATTCTCCACAGAAGCTTTAGTTTAAATCAAATCACATTTTATTCAGGACATGATTAGTAAACAACAGGTGTGGACTAACAGTGAAATGCATACTTACGGGCCCTAACCAACAACACAGAGAGAAAGAAAAGAGAAAATGCGTAATAATACAAGTAATAGATACATAATGAGTAACGATAACTTGGCTAGTTACAAGGGGTACCAGTACCGAGTCGATGTAGGGGTACGAGGTAATTGAATTAGATATGTACATATAACTAGGAATAAAGTCTGGGTAGCTATTTGTATAAATTGGAAGTGCTGTAAATGCCAATACAAAATGTCCGACATTTTTCTTCTCTGGGGCTGAAGAGAAAATGATACCACAGCACAAAGAAACAATCTAAATCAGCCTGTTGCATTTGTTCAGTGCAGTGACTTTACATTTCTGCTTATGCCAACAAAATGTGCCCTGTATACTATTTGCCACTCGAAAAACAAATAGCAACTTCGATACGTTTTT